ATTTCATGCTCTTCCCGTAGGATCCCGCTCCAGCATGTCCGAAACTGTGAAGTATGTGGACGATGAGCACAAGACCATCTTTCTGAAGCTACTGAACGAGCAGCGTTTGGAGGGCGAGCACTGCGACATCGCTGTAGTAGTAGAGGATGTGAAATTCAGGGCGCATCGCTGTGTGTTAGCGGCGTGCAGCAACTACTTCAAGAAACTCTTTAAGAAACACGAGGTGGACAGTTCGTCCGTCATCGAGATCGACTTCATCCGCTCGGACATCTTCGAGGAGGTGCTGAATTACATGTACACCGCCAAGATCTCGGTGAGGAAGAAGGATGTGAATCTAATGATGTCCTCCGGACAGATCCTCGGAATACGCTTTTTAGACAAACTCTGCGCGCAGAAACGCGACATGTCGCCCGACGAGAAAAACGACCCCAGGAACGCAAAGTTCCCATATGATATGGTGAAAATGGGGCTTCCGGCGGAAGATCCTCCGCTGAGTCAAGACAGCGACGTCCAGGTGCTCGGCGACCAAGACGACACGCCTTCGGACGACATCGTAGAGGAGCCTCAAGGCAATCACGATTTGGATAAATCGCCAAATAATGCGTTACGAGTGCAGGAGGCCATCCTGAAGGAGCTGGCGCAGGAGGAGGTGCACAAAGTGAGCTGCTACGATCAAGATGTGGAAGCAATGGACGGAGAACCCAAAGAGCTGGCGGCTCACACCCAAACGCTCTCGTTCACCGAAAGCATGGGCGATGTTAAAGACGAGCAGCCGCCGGGATGGACGACTGCCGCCGCCGATATGAAGTTTGAGTATCTGCTCTACGGCCACCGCGATCAGCTGGCATGCCAAGTGTGCGGAAAGAGCTTCATCGACGAGAACCGCTTGAGGAAACACGAGAAGCTGCACTCGGCCGACCGGCCGTTCGTCTGCGAGATCTGCACCAAAGCCTTCACCACTCAAGCGCATTTAAAGGAGCACCTGAAGATCCACACGGGCTTCAAGCCATATCGCTGCGAAGCCTGCGGGAAGTCGTTCATCCGCGCGCCGGATTTGAAGAAACACGAGCGTGTGCACAGCAACGAGCGGCCGTTCAGCTGCCAGATGTGTGAGAAGGCCTTCAAACACAAGTCGCACCTGAAGGACCACGAGCGCCGCCACCGAGGAGAGAAGCCCTTCGTGTGCGGCTCCTGCACCAAGGCCTTCGCCAAAGCGTCCGATCTGAAGAGACACGAGAACAACATGCACAGCGAGCGCAAGCAGTTGCAGAGCGAGACCGAGCAGCTCCAGGCCGCAGCAATGGCCGCCGAGGCCGAGCAGCAGCTGGAGTCCATCGCCTGCTCATAATT